AGAGAGAGAGCGTCTCTCACGACTCGACGGACGGCGAGACAGCGAGACCGGTAGAGAAAAAAGAAGGCAGAGACGAACGGAAAGGCAATGGAGAGGACGATAGAGCACATCGGACCGAAGGAACTGCGCTCCGAGCGTCAAAATTGCGAAAACTGCAAAATGCGAAATGCTGGCCTGTCAGCGCTCGAACGGTCCGGACTGCACTCTGAAACCAAGTGAATAAGCGTGGTGCCCTGAGAGCGCTCGAAAGAGCGTTTGTTTCCCGGCCCGGAGAAAATGCTGCGATTCTAGGAAAAAGATAAATGAAATAACTGTTATTTGTCATCTTGGTATCCATAGTCATGCATATGCACGAGGGTCGGTCTTAACGAAGAAATCAGATCTCGAAATCATATTCAGATTGGTTATAAGATTTGGTTATAAGACCGGACGATCCACAGAACTCTTTCGTTGATTGGCTGAAATGTTATGGAACCCGTCGAATCTATAGGACTTATAACAGGACGACCCAAAACCAAATCGGGATTTGAAAAAAGGTGAAATCATTTAATCGGATCCCGATTTGGGTGAACAGCGTCCATAGTTGCGGGACCACGGTCTACTCGCATACACGGCGCGTGCCCACCTACCCCCATCCACACGAACCCCATCCACCGACCAGCACAGAGGAAAGAAAGAGCACAAAAAGTCAACCTAAAGGGAGGGTGACTGCGCATCGTTGTTGCACGTGACTGGCCCCGAAGAAAAACGTGTGTGGGATGTGTTGGTCTGTGGGGCAATCTCCCGTGGGTTGTCGAACTTCAAATGCACAGATGAATTGGCGGCTTTCCGTCGGACGAGGGTCGATTCAAAGTGTCACATCCATAGAAATCGTGTCAGTACCGCACAGAGGCCATGTACGCGTTTGGTGTGTGCTTCTCGGGAGCGATAGCTCCCCATGTGGTGTGGCAACGCCATAGCAGTATGTCACAAACGTAATCTGGCAGTTGGCAAGCGGCGGTCCTCTCGGGTTGTTCGTGGTGAACTGCAGAGATTCGTTTCCATTTGGCACATCTTCCGTTACGACACACATGCCATTTCTGTCCGGATTTGGGTAGATCCGACTCTTTTATTCTTATATCCAAATGTGATTTCGAGATCTGATTTCTTCGTTAAGAACGACCCTGTGACCATCTTCTTTTCTCACTCAGGTTTTTCAGAGGGTTGTTCATAGACTACTGCTGTGTATCAGCTCCTGTATTGTGTAGGTACGAAAGAGGCAGCGAGACGCAACTCGTTATGAGACAGCAGCGTTGGTTACAACGTGTGTGCGGTGACCGATAGAAACAAACGTGGCCGACAAGTTGTTGAAGTACGTGTGTGTATCACTCTCTTGATGGTCTCTACTGCTCTCTACCGCTCTGTCCATCTCTCCGTCTCTTTTTGAGAAAGTAAACTCTTGGTCACTCGGAGTTGACGTCGGAATATAAATCCGTTTTTTTTGCTCCCTAAACTTCAGGGATTGTATGCACAAGGGTTGCTGCAACGCTGCGACAAGCATGTCTAGAGCCTGAAGGCAAAGACTCTCGAGAGGGATTGAAGTCGGAAGCCAGGACAGAGGAGTGACATGGGCAAGGGGCGTTGAGGTCTGGGCATGCTCGAGGAAAATAGTCTATCGCGCTTGCTTGCTGTGTATGTATACCAAACGGATTTCTGCGGATTACCCCTGCCACAACCGTGTTGTTGAAACTTGACTCTCAGTCTCTCAGTGTAGGACACAGCAACAGCGGACATATACGAAGCAAAAAAAACAACGCGATTACCCGTGTATCAAGTGCTTTACGATATCACCGCTGAGGACACAAGACAATGGCGCTATTGTGCATCTCCCTCCCTGTGCCCTCTCTCTGACTCACCCTTGTCCGTGCGTGTGTAGCTCGGCGTCAAGCTTGACAGGTCGAGATCGATATCCCCATCACCATAATGTTGCTCCCAAGAAGTTGACGTTCCAGGACCACCCGTATCATCAAAGGAACTACCCGCAGCACTTCTGCTAGACCTCTCCATATCAATCGAAGAGGGTGGGTCACCAGCGAAGGTTGGTGTGATATGCCTTCTCTTGCAACTGCCTCTGCCTTGTTCGCCTCAGGTCTGAGCAAGCTGCGATCCGACCTGCAGCAGTAGCTGTCCACAAGTGCGGGCGAACAGCAGCAAGTAACCAGCTGCTGACCAGGCATGACGCACAATAAAAAAAAAGAACGGATGCACCCAATCCCGCCGATTCGTGCGTCGTGGACAGTCCCGCCGATCCACAAAATGTGCACGGAGGCCGCTTCACCACCTAACGGCGATCTTGGCCTACTCCAAGCACCTACCCACGCCAGTACCAACGTAGCATATATCTAAGCAATACAAAAACGAACCGTAGAACTTGTGTCACCGTTATTTTGCTGTAGAACCTAGTATGCACACATGTACACATTTTCTGGTCCCGTACATGACGGAGAGGATGCCGCATTCAAAAGACATGGTTTCGGAACCCCTCGACGAGACAGCAATCCCAACGTTCTAACGCAGTCGTTTTCGGCACCGGCTTTTGTTTCACTGCAGAGTAATCGAGGTTTGACAATATGTCCAGGGCATGCATGTGGTATCTTACGCAACCCAACGGTATCCTGGCAAAACATCAACCGGTATAATGTGATGCAACTCTTTTCACTACATACAATAAATCACCTCGAAGCTGTGTGGAAATTGGCCCCGACCACAGATGTAGCGGTTGTTGCTGCTGCTGTCCTTTGTTCTTTCCTTGGTTATATTCTCCCATCGCCTTGCACGTACACCCTGCCTGAATAACACAAAATAAATGTAGAGTGAGTCTTGAGTGAGTGGTGAAATGGCACGGGGAAGACCCGAAACAACCTCATTTTTTTCGTTCTGTGACCAATCCATGTGGATGGGCACTCTTGGAAACGTGGGCATCCTTTGCAACGTGGCAACGTACCGTGACAACGTGGCAACGTGGCAAAGCTTGGCCTGAATTGCCGAAAGACTCTCGCGTGCCTTCCCACCCGACTCCGTGGGCATGTGAAGAAGTAGACTACAATAGACCCAGAGACTGCTTGTTGTATACGTGCGTCTGCTTCTACCATATCAGGTACCAGAGGTCGTGCACGAGGTAGAGTCGCTGAGACGCTATGCATATCACTGCGTACGGTAGGCAATTTCGCAATGTCGAAGGTGTGCCACAATAAGCAAGCCACGTGAATGCATGCATCAAATAGTGGTATGTATGTATGTACAGCACATCATCAATCAATCCTGTCACCCCTCACACCAAACCAACACAACTTCTTGAGTCTTACCACTCATGTTCACCTGTTGCAGCCCCTCGGCTCCCGACTGCAGGAGGAGTGTAGGTGTCGTTTACCGCGCGCGGTAAACACCAAACAGTAAAAAATATGATATCCCGGCAGCCTGGTTGTTATTTCGTTATTACTCCGAGTATTTCCGCTGAAAAGTCTATCGACACACCGGGTTCGGATGCTGGATAAATTGTGGAACAACAACATACAGCAGTAGTCTACAGATACATATATTCTGTAGCGTACTGCCCCGCAGTTAGGAATATTTCGTGGAGAAACAGAGAGGCTCAAATTTCACGAAGAAAGTGAAGAAAAAAGGTCGAAGAAGACGTAGTAGCTATACACAGCTCACGGAGGATGGATCCTACACTAAACTCTTCCAATACTTCGTACTAGATAAACTGTGCTCGACAATGAATGCCGATGAAATAAGTTACTGAGCCTCGGCCCGATTTGGACGTTTGTTTCTTATCTCTCTGCGGGCCCGTGTACTGTATGCATATATACTTCCGGAAGTATACACCAACACATACGGGAAATATTTAACCGTGACGGCAAGTAAGTGACGGCTGTAGGGTAGAGAAAATAATACGTAGAAGAATACACACCATGTTTTCTAGAGAATTTGAAGAGACAATCAGGATTTGAACTGCTTCGCGGCTACCCAATTCAATCGCGCCAACCCCCCGTGAGGCACACGCTTGATTGAGAGTTTTTTCGAGTGTTCTGTGGAAACAGAGAGAGTCAGGGTATTGGGTTTCGCGCGAAATGTGCTCCGCGGTTAACGAGAAGCCACACGGCGGTGGCAGCGATTTGGGTGACAACAAAGGGCAGCTTTTCCATGGAAAAAAACTGCAGTAGAGTATATGTGGGCAGATTCATAATAGCTTTAACTGATGGCAAAACCAACTCAGACAACTAGAAAGAAAAAAGCCCCCGTTTGCGCCCAAACTCTCAGCTGCCCAATGTCTTACGACACTTTTCGACCATGCGAGAGAGACGTTCGCACGAACGCACGCGGTTTTTCAGTCGCACAACAGCTAGCTTCAAACCTACATACCTCCTTGTTCAACCCAGGAACCCCCCGTACCGATTCGTCCATCAGCATTCGAACCTGTCGCAGCTAGTGGCGGTGCGCCCCAAGAGAGAGTATCACATTCATGTGAAGAGAGGGAATCGTCCTCGACAGACGTTGGGAGATTTTCGCTTTGTGTAGAAGGAGATCTGCATCTCCCCCTCTTTAAGTTGACTTAACCCGACCGGCTGGCGGCGATTCACCTCTCCACAATGTTCTGTGCGTGGTAATAGAAAATCTGTGATTACGCAAGGCTACATCTTATCGCGACGCCAAAGTGAAATTGGGAATCGTCCTCGACAAAACTTTTTCTGCCTAAAGTGAGCTCGTCACTGCTGCGACGAGACATATATCAAGACGAGCTTTACGACGCGGCTCTTGTTCCGCAAACTTGGGGCCGTGTCCCGGTTAATTAGGACATTGTCGACCTGTATTGAGGCCCCGGTTTAACTGCTATAAACCAACCGCTAAAAGAGGGTTTAGTGGCGACGCCTTGATGAATAGCAGTTGGAAAGATCTCCTGGCGCTACGTGAGTATGAAACCGCAATCACACCGGGAGCTTCACTGCATCGCATACCACATGGCCAGGTCTGCGTATCTGGTCATGGTCGAAGGCGTCTGCGCGCTCCTGACGATGCTCGTCACCCTCAACAGTTCCATTAACGTCGTCTGGGACTGCGGGCTCGACTATTTCTGGGTATCTCTGCTACTCTTCTTGGTCGTGCCCACGCTGTTGGGGAGCTATATCTGCCGCGTGCTCCGCCTGGCCGTGGTTTTCCATCCGAGGGCGAAGCGTGCCCTACCGTGGCTCATCCCGGTACAAGTCTTCGAATTTTGTGGCTTTGGATCAAGTGGGACTACGCGTATGGTAGCATGTTTTCGTGTACGAGGACGTGTAGTGCTCCACGTCAGCGTGTGTGTTGTATGTTTTATCTGCGCACGTCTGTTCTATTTTCCTTTCTACGCACGCCTGTTCAATTTCGTTTTCGACGCAGCCAGCAGTTCCATCGTTGTTGCTTTGTTTGACTCTGCGCGCGCCATTCCTCGCCCCAAGCACGGTCGAATCCCAGGTAACATTGGCAACATATGCCACTCACAACCCCAGCTAGCGCCCTCTCTCTCGCCACGGTCTCTGGCCGTTTCTTGAACTGCTCCCCCTCCGTGCCCGCGTGCCGCGCCCCTCTTTCATTCTGCTTTCGATGTATTTCTCTCTCGCTGTGTGTCTGCTGTGCCCCTATGCACGTGTTTCCTCCACTCTTGGACGACAGGAGCGCAACTACATGGCGGCGCTGCTGGTAGCAAGTGTGGGAATGTAGGCAATCCCCATCTATCACGAGTACACCTTGGAGACACAGTGAGATGTAGAACGCGTTACGAACGAGAAAACAGCCCCGGTCATACCGTTGCAGGTGATGTTCCACACCCAAGAGTTGGAAATTAATCCATACCGCAAGCCGCTCCAGAAGTTCATTGATGTGACGACGAGTTGCGTCGTCGTGTTCTCAATGGGCACTGCGTAAAGCTCCAATCGTGGCGCTGTAGCCTTGTACCCTCCGCCCTTTGGACATTCGCGTATGACGGTGTGAACGGCGTAGACCGTCATCGTTCGTGTCTTGACGATTGGCATTTGCCGTTGGTCTTTCTCGGCGCGTCCCCCCCGTTCCTGCCCACCCAGGGAGGCCGTTCCGATGCAGGCTACTATCCGGACGACGACTTAAGCGCGTTCGCGGTGGCGCTGGCTTGCACTTTCCCTTTCATCAGGAACGTTGACGATCTTTTCAGCATCAGCAAGGAGATCATCATCGTCACCGCGGCCGTCGTGATCCTCGCAAGTGAGGCCCACGAAAACCGGTGTGGACAGCCTCGTCCAGTATCCGTCATGTTGTTGTCGTTTTGTTGTCTTCACATTCAACTCGTATGTCACTTGCTAATCCCAAATCTTGCAAAGACTCGGTCCGTCGTCACAAAACTGCCAGAGCCAACAGAAGATCGATAGAACACGCACACTTAGAAAAGGGTACGCAAGCCCGAAGAGGCACACCTACAATCCCTGCAGTACGCTTGCATGCCCAAACGTAGATCCGACGTGTAGCTCATTGTTTTTGGTGTACCTAAACGCAGGTGCGCACGATTGGTTTATATATTTTTCGGGTGCGTGTTTCGAAAACCTTCTTTTCGAGACCTAAACAGCCTGCAGCTGTCAGAGAGGCCGTTCGAAATGATCCAACGTGAGCAATGCTCACACGGGGATAGTATTTGGAGTCTGCAGCTACTCTCATCGCATGCATCTCATCCCTGGACGGCGGAGAACCGCTTGCTGTTTTGCCCGATTTCGCAACTGCCGAGGTTGTGGCGGTGCTTTTGCGTTTTCCCCGTTACCACCGTCGTTATCTCGTTCCTCGTCTGCACCCTCGATACTAACCGCAACAGTTGAGCAGAACGTCGTCGACAAGTGGGGAGGGGTCTACGAGCGGAGATGGATTGATAAAAGCGTGTCCATCTTGTTTGTGGCGGTGCTCTTCGGCGTCAGGTGTGTGTCTGCTCGCCGTCCGTCTGAGGGAGAAAAATTGTCTTGGGTCGATCAGACAAGTGCGTTTGTCTCCATAGTTGATCCTCTGCGCGGAATTTCGCTTCGCCGACAGGGCCTGTGTGTCGACGTTTGGATTAGAGTTTGTGGTTTATAAAAAACATATGATCCGTCCACACCCTGATTAGTTATCTTGAAAAATGAAAAGATTGAGCGGGCGAGAATCAGTAAGGACTGATGTCAAATTCTCCAAGCAGTAGCCGAAGGGCGAGCGTGACTGCTCGACACGTGCTGACTTGAACGCCGTTTCGTCGTGATTTCTTGCTCTTCGACGCTTGGGTCACTAACCTCGTTGACGGCACGTACCGTTTACGAAGATAGTTTCCATGCGGTGTCCTCAACCAACCTTTGCGCAGTATTGTGGACCCGCTGCGACGCCTAGCGTTCGACCCTTTGGCGGCAACCCAGCACAACCACGCCAATCGCATTCTCCTCAGCCGCACGGAACCCCACAAGTGAGCGAAGCACAAACTGTGGGAGAATAAAAACCAGAGGAGAAACAGACACCGACGTACGTCCTCTCTTGCGTGCCCGGTGGCGTCGTAAGCGTGCATGTAAAGGCTACGTAGCGCTCTGGTTACAATCGCTAGATGTTTGCTCTGGTTCAGATATTGTGTTGTTCGAGTCCTCGTGCATGGGCATCGTAGGTTTGCCGTTGACGTTTTAGCCAAACCACCTTCCCTGGGTCTAGCGTACTCACATCTGAGGATTTGAGATTCCCTCTCCCCCAGTGCCAATACGTGCGCAGAACAGAGAAAGGCGCGCAGATGAATGCCTTTTTCAAGGCAGGGGAGAGTTGAATCCTTGATCGACTACGGGAAGTCTAGGAGGAGACAGGGTGTCTCGTAAGGGATCGTGGAAGTGACCGTAAGAGGCGTGACGTCCAAGCCATCCTAGGGAGATGGACGGAGGCTGCGATCATCTGACGGACACTGAAGGGGTCGGGCCATTTCCGGAGTTATCGACGTTTCTCTGTCGTAGACTATGAGTAGGAGCAGTTCTCCGCCTTGTAGCAATGCGTGAACGTTACCAAAACCGTCAATGATAAATAGCGCATGAGCGCAACCCCCCGTTCCCCCTTCCCCCCTCACGAATTCCGCAATAGCTCGGTGAGACGAGAATTAGGGTTTTCGTCAGTCATAGGCGGCGGCTCGCAACGGACACGTGGCGACAGCGAAGAGGAAGCCAGACTCGAAGAAGGACAGCGTGAAGGAGTCCCGGGCAAGGACACAACAACAGCAGCAGGAGGAGATGGTGACACTGGCGATGTCCCCACCTCGGCCGCCATTGGCAGGGGTGCGACTACGGCACCCACCGCCGACGCCGACGGTGCCGTCGCCCCCTGTACGTGGAACGAGCGGGAACCAACCAATTCCTCCGTCGTTGCGGAGGGATCGTCTTCCGTATCCAACGACAACAGCACCCGCGGCAGGCGTGGCGCTTTCCAGAGGGTGCAGAGAGCGAGGGGCAGCGGCCGAGACCGCGGTTGTAGTAGTCGAAGTCGTTCGGATAGGGAGGAGATGGAGGTGTGGGACTTCGAGCGGATTGCGAGTACGCCCCTGTTGGCCGCCGCGTTCGAGGACTATTCTAAGAGGGCGCTTTGCCACGAGTCGGTGCTCTTTCTGAGCGAGGTTTCTCGGTGAGTAAAGCCCAAGGACCGAGGGAAATAGATGGGCAGATACTTGCAGCAATGGTCCCTCCGGAATGTCGATTGAATAGCGCCTGTGCCCGGTATAGTGCCAAAGTTTCGGCAGGCACATGCCGCCACTAATCAGGGACCATTTACTGTGGCTTATGAGAGGAATCAGGATTGATATGGTGGTATGCATGGTGTTCGGCGCATATTGCTCATTCCGCCATCTTGTTTGTGCCCGTGTTTTCCGATACATTTGTTGTGGATTGGATACCTTCGTACACCGCAGCCAGTGAACGAAGGGTTTCTGCGCCCTTCCGTGTGATACCCCTGTCTTCCGACTATCGAAGGCGTACGGTGTCTTCGATCGTTCCCTGCGGTCTCTGTAGTCGTGGATTTGGATGATGTTAGCGTAGAGTTCCTCCAACCATTTCGAGTCGGTGAGGAGTGCTCTTCCACCGTTAACGGTTGATGCCCCCAAACGGTTACGAGGCCATAGTCTTGTCCCTTCCCATCTCGAGGCGAGGAGCGGTTGCTTGAAACCGCCGTCGCAAGAGTAGAGTTGATGTGGAAACAATGAGTTGGCCATTCCAGCTTTGCCACTAGGGTTTCCTGTGTAGGAGGTTGCGCACTGCACTCGACTCCGCTATAAGGTTGTTGCTGGCATCACGTTCCTGCCCCTGAGATCAGAGAGATTTTCAAGCATGTGAAAATACTAACGCCCTTCTCGCCGACGTAACAACGGTCTGCGCGCTAAGGCACGTGTTTGTACACGGCCGCATTTCCGCGCGCCCTGTCGCGTTCTCTGTGTAGCGGGGAGATGTGCATGCGATTCACAATGTGCGACCGAACGTATCGCCTGGGCCTGTAAAGAGGCTCGTGCGTTGCAGGCATTGTAGGGACGTTTCTTTGTTGCATACAACTCTGCGAAACGAAATCCGAGAGCCCCTAAAACTTTCATATCGTCTGTGGAGTATTGTCACCGCGGCTGCATATGGTTGGTTGTCCGTGCTCGATGTTTGGAACAAGTACTCATACCGTATCGGGTAAGGTATACTGCAGAAACGCCAAAGTTGAGGTCCGCCCGAACTTATAAACTCTATTGTCGCAAAATCGCCGCCCATGACCTTGTTTTGTCTCTTTCCCGCGTCAGGTACCAGAACAATAACTACCCCATGCCGACAAGAGCATCTTCCGCTTCATCTCCGAGAATTCAGTTTGGTTCGTTCTGCTATATCACGGATACCTTCATCAAGGCCGGCTCATCTGAGGAAGTAAACATAAGGTGAGGTGTAGCAGAGACTGACGAGCACGACTCAAAACACAGCGTTCCATGTTAGATATCTGTAAAGGTTCAATCCCTTATCTGATCAAGTGTGATGCTGGAGTGGAAGCGGTGGTTGAACTCAAGCTATGTTGGACACGGCGTTCTCGAGGGGCGGTGTCGAGGGTCGAGGGAAGGCTGGGTGCAGATTGATCCAGCGCTTCATGCGATGCGTCTGGATGTACTTGGCGCTCCTTGTTATGTCTCAGTATGTATGAATGTCTTGTTCGATTTTGTACGAGCACGTACGTGGAGTTTCAAAACTGCAGGCTACAAGCCTCACACCAGTCTGAGGTGGACACAGTTTCTATCAGGCTGCGCGAAAAACGCCATAATTTTCTCTCGACAAGATCAAGGTTCCGGGATTCAGGTTGTTTGCCTGTGGCTGTACCGACTGCCTGCTGCTGGCTGATTGGCTGCGGCCTGCCGTTCGTTGTGACGTGACCTAGGGCCGTTTTTTTGCGTTACATGCTCGTTTCGTTGTTCTCTCGTATTTAAGCGAAACGGGGATGAGACTGATACTCGATCTGTACAACAACGGCGAAGAATTATTCGATGATGTCAACGAGGAGGAGAGAAGGTGAACGTGGAGAGATGCGGCGGGAAAAAAAACGTGTTCAACACACGAGTGCTCGTGCCGACGTTTGTGCGAGTATATACCCGCTAGAGATATTTCATGATTGTTGCCTTCATTGGCGGTGTATCTCACTTTCACGTAAATTTCGAGAGCACATTGCAGCGCACGAAACCCACTTCATGTAGGAATATGTCTTGTTCTTCGGCGGTGTGACCCACTACTGTAGCATCGGGACAATGCGTGTGAAGGAGGTTCTATTGGATGTGAAGGCGGCGCCCAACCCCGAAGCCCAGGATTCATATAGATCCGTGTGCTCGTCTGACAGGGCTAGGTGTAGCGGCCATGGCCAAGCTAGCCGATAGACATATGAACACTCCCCACCTCCTGCCGCCCCCGCCAAACCACAACGTGTACACCTCGAAACTCAATCACGACTTTCAGGATGATATTTTCGCGAGCGTATCGGGACGTTAAGAATATGCTGGAAGCCAACCTGGTCCTCCGCTTCCTCAACACGGACCGCTTCAAGAACGTGAGGGTGCAAAGAGAGAATATGAAGGCCATGATGGGCTCCCCACCCCCACAGGAGGGACAGTAGTTGGTTTCGATATGAGGACACACACATAGGTAGCAGTGTCGATATGCAGGCCTGGGGCTGGGTTCCTTGCGTTTAAGGTGTTCGGATAAGGGTTAACGAGTTCACACTTTCCCCCTCCCTTTTGTACCGATTATTCTCATACGCGAAGTACAATTTGAGCCGAAGATTACTGAGCTGGGTGACGCAGGGCGTTGGATGTGATTGTGCAGTCCATCGAGAGACCATGACCCCCCCGCTGAGGCGTGCGGCAGGATTAGCACCCATTGAAAATATAAAATATCGTCGTTAAACGTGATCCGGCAAGGGCTGGGAGTGAGTGTTCTCCAACGTGTAGGTAGTATACGCATGCCAGGGAATTGGATGGTCGACTTTGTGGCCAGTTTTCTCCGGACTTCCTATTGCCGCCCGGATTATTATATAGAGAATCGAAACTGAAACAACGCTCCCACATGAGCGGGGCTAGCAAAGAGGAATTCGATGGTTTGAGCTGTTTGGGCCTCTCCCTGCCTTCCTGCTGGGAGACCTGAAGCTAGAGAGGCGACAACCTGTAATAAATTTTGTAGATACGCGTTTTAACTGCACTGGAACGGAAGAGCCTGGAAGCAGTGTACCGGGCATCTGAATGGGTGTTGCCGGAAACGAGTCATTCGGCTCGACGTTCGGCAGCCACATCACGAGTGAGGCACAGACCAACAATATCTGGGTGGAGTGTTCAGGGAAGAATGAGCACGGAAAGGATTCCGCGCGGGAGAAGAGGAAGAAGTGGTGATCGTGGTGTAGCGGTGGATTGGAACATAGCTAGCCTACAGACTGGCCGCTGCTCGCATTCTCCCGAAGTCACAGCCATACTCGCCGCCTACCCGTGAAATGAAACACAGTAGGCGGCGGACAAGGCGCCCAGAGCCCCGGGTCTTGTCGTGGTGTCTGAGGGAGTGGTTCATCGTGCATACAAACCGCGTTTGGTCGTGGTCGGTGAGACAAGTGGTCACGTGAGAGTGACTGGGCAGCAAAGGCTTTTATGAGACCTTGAAGTTCTACTGTACGTTTTAAAAGTGGGAGGCAAAGCACCCACTTTTAAACCCGCCGAGGCCGTCAAGGTAGGTAACAACCCCCGAAGCAGAGACAACCCTATTTAGCGTATTCTACGACCGATATTTTTCAGGGGCGATACACTGTACTCTTGTATAGATCGCCAACTGCGAAGGACAGCACAAACAAACACCAGTATTTCACCTTCCGTCAGCGGCCAGCGATGTACAACATTTTTTTTTTTCTGTCTTCACTTCAAATCAGCTCTCACAGCACTAGTGCCGTTTACTCCAACCCGTGGTCACACAGAAGAGAAGAGTCCCTCTCTACCCTCCCCTCCTGCGGTACGTTGCCTTCGATTTTTAATGTGAGAAGAGTTCAGCACTCTCTTCCCTCTGTGTACACACGAACTAGCGCTATCCACTAGACCAGGAGCGGAGCGAGAGAAAAACTCACTTTGCAAGAAAAGCTCGCTTACACCGGGATTTACAACATTAGCGTCAGGATTTTGAGGGCTAAAACCACATACTTTGAACCGCATTCAGGCGACGCGGATGTGGCAAACAAAAATACGATACACACTAGGAAGTGCATCAAAACACCCAAACAAGTGAACTACAGTGCAAGAAATGAACCGAACCAAGTGTTGTATGCTGCGCATATGAAAATAGAACATCACAAGAACACGGAATATACATACCTCGCCCTTCTCGCCCGTATTCGAATGGCGATTTGCGAACATGCGGCAGCAGCAGCGAAACCGTGTCCCAAGCTACCGTGAAGGAGCTGCTGAAAACATGCACAGGCTGCACCCGCGAATTCATTCCCCAGCCGAGCACTCGTTTACCATCTACCATGAGTAATGACGAACAGCAAGCAATGCCTGTTGATGCGACCAGGCGACAGACGCGACCAGGCGGCGCGACCTCATGTTCATCTTCCGCTCCCATCATCCGCGTTTTCTTCCCCCCGTATCCGACTGTCTTTACCTCTCACTCCGGCATGTCAAACGGTTACCACTGAGGGACAGACACAGCGATCAACAAAAATATCTGGGTTGGTCGAGTCTCTCGTCGCAAGCCAGCCCCAGGAAAGATCTCGGAAATTCCTCCACCAAAAACGAGGTGACAACAGAAGAGATGCGCTTGTCGCGGAAGGGCTACTATATGCCTGCTTGTGTGGCATGCTGCCTTGTTATGGTCGACCCCGCAGCTCCACCTCCAACCATTGTTTCCATTTTCGCAACCGTTCAACCCAAACGTAAGTCCGCAGTGATATGTTGCCAATTAGAAGCCGGTGCTCAGTGTGTTTCGAGTCGAGATCCTCTTTTGTCGCGTGACGCTTTCACTCCAGGTCTACCGCAGAAGGCCTGCTGCTTCCGCCCCGCACAATACCCAATGCCGACCCTGCCGGACACAACCTCCTGAATTTGTCCATCTTCATGAAAATACATGCCCTGTCTCTATCGATAAACGTGTTGGCTCACCATGAGCTTGTATCGGCGAGGTGAATAGCCTATTGCTGGTTGTCAAACTCTCGGCCTTGTCGTGGCCAATCCCCCGCAAGTCCACCTCTAAATAAAATGTTCGTAGTCGTCCAACCCCAAACACATTTTGAACCCGTCTGCCCCCCCAGCGCACTTACGTTCACACACGCGATTCAGCGAACTCCCTACCGCCACCTCGCGTTTCACTCCAAGTCTACAGTTGTCGGCCCGGTGCTCCCACTCCGCAGAATACCTAGCCAGTGGCGAAAAAACAGCAACAATCTCGGTGTCGTGTTCTTGGGCAGTGCGGTGATGTTTGGACCGTAAGGCACCGCACCGTCACTTTCCGAGGTGAAAAACTCGTGCCACTCCGCGCTTCGCCACACCGCACTGCTGTAACATGAAAACAACCGCACAGCACCACACCGCAACGCACCCTCTCGCAAAAACGCACCGCACTTCAACCGAATCCAAACACGCACCGCACGGTCGTGGTAGCGTGAGAAAAACCGAACAGCCCCGCTACATCTGAGTGCCCCTGCAAATAACGCCTCCCTGTGTTCCCACCTGCATGAAAACGAATGTCCTGCTTTGGCTAGAATAGTACAACCAACGAAGCTCTCCCGCCCTCGCTGGTACCAAGTTACGAGTTTCTGGATATTCACCCAGCCTCAAGCAGCTTCGCCACACACGCATCACGAACTGCGGAGGACGTCGAACCAATTATCTCTACCCGAACAACACGCGTCCAAGTTGGAGTACAACAAAGTCCTGCTGGCCCTTCAGTCCAGCTCCAAGGAGCGTCGCTAAATGTTCTCTCTATTAGATAAAATTAGACCATCTGATC